CGACTAGATCCTTGTCCCTGAACCTCCGGCCCCTCAGCAGCTCAGGGAGGTAAATTGCAGGATGTGCCCTTGTTGGCTCCCAGATTCCCACAACTCATTTGGACTCCTTCCGCAAAGAGAGCTCTCCTCACTGGGCGTTTGTTCACACCAATGGCTTCCTCTCCATATGGCTCCCAGTGTTAACTCCAGGAATCGAACTCCCCACCCTTGCTTCCAGCGTCCCAGCGAAGTGATTGTTCCACCAACTCGGATGTGCCCTGGGGGGCGTTAAATATTTCAACTTGAATAGACTTTGTGTGTGTGTGTGTGTGTTTTTTTTTTTCCCCTCTCCATTTGTTGTAACTGGAAAGATGCCAGGTGAATTTGTCAAGGATGCGTACCGAACTCTAAGCTAATGACTCCTTATGAAAGATTAGCCCAATGCCTACTGGGCTTCTAACGATGGTGATTGTTGAAGTATTCACGAAAATTCAATCAAGTCACTAAAATTTATTTTGATTACCAAAATTTAATAGATTCTGTTTGGAGTTGCCAAAAAAATAAATAAATAAAAAGCTAACTTTTTTTTTCGAGCATTTTTAATCAGCATCTCTAGCAAGGCTGATCTTGTGATTGTTGGGGTCCGAAGTGAAATCCAAAAATTAGGCCCCCAAAATCAACATAAATGCAAAATTAAACGATATATTTGCAATATATTGTTAACTTAAAACTTAACATTAAAAAAACAAATAAATATCTCAATCACCTCACAATTAATTAAAAAAAATATTTTCCTTTTTCTTCTTTTAATATTGAAAAAAAAAACTTTTGAGCCAAAATAGGCTCCCTATGGTTTTAGGCCTGAGGCACAGGCCTCATTTGCCTGGCCACAGAACCGGCCTGATCTCTAGTCATGTGGATCTTCCACAGTAGTAGAAAGATTGTGTAACTAGACGATCCACACGATCATGAATTTGTTACCATTGAGCCTCTTGACGACATTAGTGTAAATGTTGTTCTCTAGATCCAATCAACTTTGGACATAAATAATTTTAATATATAATTGATGCAATTTTATGGTAGATCTATTATTTAATTACTATTCAATTAAATTAAATAATAGAGTTCGTAAATTTAAATTTTGGTAATTTGTTAATCACAAGTAGTTGTGATCATAAGATACAAATTACATATGATAGAATCTTAAATCGTCCGTGATCGTAAATAATAACGAGATACGAATATCGTCATTGCAGATAGAACCATCACGTGTGACATTTCTTACTTGTGAAGTAAATGACTGATCTTACAAACTAAAGTGTTATGACAGTTAAATGAATACGTAGATGTTTTGTTGTAAAACAAAATATTGGAAATCCACTGGGAGATTCCATGTGGATAACTATCTGAATGTCAATGGTTAATCTCTAATGTTCGGTAGTGGAATTGGTTATTTGACTTGAGGTCATCACAATATCTTATATAATGACACTCATATTTTGGTGATTTTGAATTGCTCTGCGAAGGGCCACTAATACGGCATCATCCGGGTATGTCAAAAATCATATAAATATTGTGCATGACCAATAGAGAATTTGTCGCTCTTAAATAGTAAGAGTTATGATCTACATTTATTTCAATTAAGTTGATAACGAAATTATTGGTCAATGTATACTCAGAAGTCGAAAATGAGTTTTCGACTTATATTAATCTAATAGTGGAATGAAAGATATGATCGATAATCGATATTGATACACTTTCATATCTCGTAATTGATTGGATCATATTAAATGGTTTTTTAATTTATCAATTTTCATTAAATCAAAATAATAATTCATATCGTTCGACATTGTGATTGAGAACCTGATGGGTCACACACAAAATGAGAACCAGAAGATTGTATTTTACCAATTAATTAATTTAGCAAGCGTTGGATAAATTAATTAATTGAGTTGCTTATTAATAGGTCCGAATTAATTAATTAATTCATGGACCTGATTTAATTAAAATGAGTTAGTTAAATATTGAACCTGGTTAAGAGATAGTTTAAACTCGTTTGGACTTATATAAGTAAGCAGCTAGGGTTTAGAAATGGTAGAGAATTTTCATTCTTGTTAACACAAGAACAGAAACCCTGGTTCTCTTGCAATCTTATTTTTTGTGTGGAATTTTATTAGAAACTGTACAATTGAACAGTTATAGGTGACATATCAAGATTGTTGGAATAAAAGAAAAGCAAAGGAATTTGCAGATTTCGCAAAAGGTATAATTTTTATCGAAACACAAAGCAAAGCTTTGACGAGAATTGAAATTTATTTACTTTTCGTGGTGTATGATTAAATAAATTTCCAACAATTACCTCCCATTGCATATTGGTACATATTGGGTTTTTTAAAAAATCTGCTTCTTTTTGTTTTTGCTTGCGTCTGTCGTACATATCGATGTTTGACCATTTTTTATTCCCTGGTCTTTAGTAGCCTGTAGCATAACCCTCTTCCTTCATTACTCACCTATCCACTGTTGGAAAAAAAACACTTCCCATCCACGATATTGTAGTGGAGGTTTTGCGATTAAAATAGAGTCTTCCTACTTCAATAAAAACTAGAAATAATTGTGGAAAACAAATAAATTTAGTCCTTGTTTGAGCCTTATTTTGGGGGAGGATGAATGTATTTTTGAATAGTGTATTGATTAGAAATATCTAGTTAAAAATAAGGAAAAATTTTGAATTACGTGTAATGTTATTTTATTGAAGAATGAGTGTTTAAAATAATGTCAAAACACTATTTAAGAATGCATTTTTCCCAAAAAAAAAAAAAGGCTCAAACTAGGGCTTATTTTATTGGGAAAACAAGTAAATTTATTTCATTCTATTTAATTAATGATTTAAATGTCATATGCAAGAACGATGAAAGGTTTTTTGAGTGACTTCACGTTTTTCGTATCACTTTCACTTTGTTAATGTCTAGAATGAAATTTTACTTAAGATATCAAAATTTTATTTATTTATTTTTTTTTTGTTTTGTTTTAAATAAAAGAGCTTGAACATAGTTACTTAAAATACGGGGCACTACGACAGTTTTCACATTTATAAGGTCTGATAATGACTCTGGAGCATTGTTT